TTTTTTTAATGAAAAATGCCTTACAACCACTAAGAAAAAATTTAAATTTCTAACAAAAAAAATTAAGAATTTAACTTTAATTTTTTTAAGAAATATGAAAAAAGCTATAAAAACCCACAAAACATTACTAAAAAATTTAAAAAAAAGGAAAAATTGAAAAACCTAAAAAAAAAAATTGTAAAATGTAGAGCATTTAAAAAGATTCATAGAAGAATATATCTAATATATAAAGATAGATGGAAATATTAATTTTTTTTTTAATTAAAGCGTTTGATATGAGGATATCTTAGGTCTTCCCTACCAAACAATCTCAGATGCAAATGATATTCGTATTTGTTTTGTCAAAAACAAATAAATGTCAAGAATATTGAGAAATCATATAATATCACATTCTCTTCAAAGTTTAATGTCATCATCCAGAAAAATTTATTAAATTTCTCTTAATGCATTAGGTCAATGTCGAATGTGTGTTTTTAAGATTACCAGAGAAGGGATTTAAACTTAATTAACGTACAAAATAACTTGAAAATACTCATTTTTGTTTTCTAAAAAATCACATTAAAGAATAAGTTCGTGTCGCTTGAGATAATTTTAGTAATAATGACTACACCTACCTTTTGAAGTAAAAATAACTTGCATAGATTCTTTTCATTGAATCAAACTTATTTTTTTCATATTTAACCAGGAATCTTACTTGTTTATATACTAAAAAGTGACCAAATTATTAGCCTTACAGAAGGATACTTTAAAAGCTGAACATTGAAAAGAGACAGATCTCTAATATTAGAGTTATACATGGCTTTTAACGGAAAAGATGATTTAATTTTATTAAAATTCCTATTTTATTCAATAAATTAATAAATATATAAACGTATTTTTGTTAAATTAAATATTCAATACTGTTCATGCCTTTATATATAATTATTAAGTATTATGTAATTTCTTATCCACGTGTTTTGCCTCTCTTTTATTTATCTTATTGTTTCTTCTCTTTCTTGACTTTAATTATCCATAATTAATTTCACATGTTATGCATGTATACTCATCCAGTGATATAAACATTTTTTTTCCGGCCAAGATAAAATGCCTCTTAAAAAGTTTTTTATTTGGTAATGATATCTTTGACGATCTGAGCAGGTCCCAAAACCCATGGCTGATGGTTTGAACATGTTTCGTCCAGGTTGCCATTGGTGGGGTGGAAATGGAATGGGGGTCATCAAGGTCTTTAACTAAGGTTGCATGGGATGATGTGGAAGCACAACAAATTTTTTATAATGATAAGAAATTAGACCTAAATTCAATAAGAAATTGTTTGTTCACGGGTCAATCAATGCATCATATAATGTTAGTTAAGAAATAAAGAGAGTAATTATGAGGAGATAAGCTTCAAAAGCTATGATGATTGATGCAAAGCAAACGCAAACAAAAGAAAGCTTACTTCATGACAAAGCCAAGCCAACACCCTATAATATTGGGCAGAGCTTAGAAGGAAAGGAGGTTGTATACTTCAGCCTTTTTATTGATATTTACACTAATTATGAGTTCACAAAACAGAAATTACAAGTGAACCAGAATCATGTGGTGGTTCCCCATGGTTTCCATAACATTTCTTCGTGAACACTCCCACCATTTGCATTCTAGTACTCCTCAAAAAGAAGAGTGGGGTGTCTTCTATCACTTTTTAAATCCTTTCGGATAGGTTACTGGATATTTATATTCATATCCCATTGAAGCAGTAAATACCCTAAAAAAAAAAAAAACCAATTCATTCAGTCCAATCGAGTTCGGATAAAATTGCCTTCTCTAACTGCAACTATTCCATCTTAACAATTTATAAACCGCGAGCGTAAGAGTTATTTGAAGGAGAGAAACAGGGAGTACTGAGCAGTCTTTCTTACACAAACATAGATAAAGCAAAGAAGGAGAAACCTGAGTGTGTTTGTGGGATGATTCACTTATTAGTTTGGGAAAAATCCAACACCAACACAGAGGACAGACTACACGGAAGACAATGCTTGCACTAAACAAAAATGAAATTGTATATAACAAAGTTTTTGTCACAAGGCCTTTTTGCACTTTGCAGTGAACTTACAAGAAAAGTGCCAACCTGCCACCAACTTTTCACATACAGACCATGTGCTCTACAGCTTGGCTAGATGAAACATCAACATTAAACAATTCGAAGGGCATCCAAAGAAATGACAAAGGTGATGATCTACAACCTTTCCCTGATGGCAGCCCTCATGGTAAACTGACCCTTCACCATTAACATGGAAATAACTTGCTTCCATTTCTAGCAAATTGGCAATAAAATGATTGAAATCAACCATTTGGTAGAATGCTTATCAAATTCCGTGACATACAACATTGTGCAAACCTTTTCTGATTGATGGTGTCGACGGAGGCCAGCAAGGGGAACGAGAATAGGAGTGCCACCTAAATAATCGAAAAGAACTAAAAAATCCTGAACATATTAGTTTGCATAGATATTTGGGTAAAGAGTCGATTATGTATGAAAAAGATATAATATCACCGTCTTCGCATCCTACCCGAAGTAGACTGCATTGTTTACATGTGAAAACAAAAGTCTGATTTTTCTATACTATGTTTCTATACTTATTTGAGTGAATTTATTTTATCGGAGATTAAATAGCGAGTAATTCGGGGTTCGGACCGATCCGAGGCCGATACCCATACTTAGAGGGAAAATATGGGGGAGGTTGGAATTTTAGCTAATCTTTAGCAAATATGATCTATATCGACAATTAGGTGATTTTTTTAAAATTGATAGCCTTTATTAGCATGAAAAGAAAATTACTAACAACTTCGCTCACACGAGTGGAAAGCCACCGATGACTATGAGTCATGAATTTAAGAAGTTACCAACAACTTCATTTCTCTCGAGTAAGGAGTAGATAAATGGTTTGGAAGTCAATGATAACTTCGTCACATAAATAGGAAGCCACTAATAACTTCGTTTTGAATGAACGAAAGCAAGCAAATTGACTTGGAAGCCATTGGTTGCTTCGTCACGCAAATGAGAAATCACTAACAACTTCATTTTGAATGAACGGAAAGCAAGCAAATTGACTTGAAAGCCACTAGCGAGCTTCATCCACATAGGTGGGAAGCCACCGATAGCTTCATTTTCGGACCAACGAAGCCAAGCAAAATCACTTCGTTTTAAATAAACGAAAAGCAAGCAAATTGACTTGAAAGCCATCGACGACTTCATTTTCAAATGAGAGAAAATAAGCAAAATCACTTCGAAACCACTCGACGGCTTCATCGGATAAATGGAAAGCCACTAATAGCTTCATTTTGAATGAATAGAAAGCAAGTAAATTGATTTGAAAGCCACTAACGACTTTGTCTAGACAGGTAGGAAGCTACTAATGGCTTTGTACACACAAGTAGGAAGCCACCGACTTCAAAACCATGTAAAATGACATCGAAACCACTCGGTGGCTTAGTTACATAAGTGAAAAGTCACTAATGACTTTATTTCAAATGAATAGAAAGCAAGTAAATTGATTTGGAAGCCACTAATGGCTTCATCCACACGAGTGGGAAGCCACCCATTTCAAGAAAATAGAAAATTAGTGACGGATTGTATTTTGTCGCTAATTAGCCACCGAATAATGGTCGAATGGCGATAAAATTAAAAATGCAACAATTTGCGACGGACCTACGTTTAATGACAAAAAAATTCCGTCACTAAAGCAAGTGGCAAAAATCCGGACTAATTTCAACGACGAAACTAAGCTAGATTAACGAAGGAATTTAACGATGGAATACCATTTTCTTCGCTAAAAGCCATCATTAGATCGGTGATAGATTATATCCATTTGCTACATTATTTATTCCATCGCTAATTAGCAACGGAATGTATTCTATAGCTAATTTTCTCAAATTTACGAAAAGCTCAAAAATCTAAGCGTTCGTTTAAAATTCAAATTAGCGACGGACACTTCGTTCGTTGCTAATTAATGACGGATTAGTGATGAAATCACGTTTATTGCAAATCATAAATCTCTAAAACATGTCGGCCCCTTTTTTTCCTTTAATTTTTTCCTCTCCTCCTACTCTCCTCCTCTCCTGCCGCCACCCCCACCAGCCCCCAACCATCGCCTCATGCCATCCCACTCATTTCGACGAGGTGCCCCTCTCCTTAAAAACCACATTAAAACTAATACGGCAGTCTCTCCTCTCCCTCTTCTCCTTTGGTTAGTTCTCTTTTTTTTTTTTTTTTGTTAATTAGATTAATTTTGTTCATTAAAAGATTGTTTTTGTTACTTAGATTAATTTTGTTAGTTGTTAGCTTAATTTTGTTAATTGTTAGTGTTATGTTAAATTTTATGTAATTGTGAGGGTAATTTAGATAAATTAGTTGATTAACTATTAGGTTAATTTTGATTAATTGTTAAGTTAAAATTTTGTTAATTAATGGTTAATTTGTTATTTTTTTAATTGTTTTAGTTAGTTGCTAAGTTAATTTTGTTAATTTGTTAGTTGTTATTTTAAAATTTAATTAATGTTTGAATTTGGTTTAATGCAATTAGTTAGGATTAATTTAATTAAGTTAATTTGAATTAGGGTTAAATTAATTAGGGTTATTTTTATTGATTTGTTGATTTTTAATATTAATTATAGTCCAATTGGTTAATTAATTTTATATTTAAAATTTAACTGGGTTTGAATTAGGGTTAATTCAAAAATGGTTTATTTTATTAGGTTTAGTTGAATTTATTATTAAATTAATTAGGTTAATTTTGATTATTTTTTTAATTTTATTTATAGTATTGTAATTTGTTAATTAATCGATATTTAAAATTTAATAAACGTTTGAATTAGGATTCATATAGTTGGTTTGTGTTAATTTTTTATTATTTTTAAACAAGCATTATTTATACACTAATCTTGATCACCGATGCATGTACAAATATTTTATTTGAATAGTGTTGTATGAGGTATGTTTATTGCAGGTGGCATGATGCCTTATGATGGCAAAAACAAAGACAGGAGGGCCTGATGGTTGCATCAGGAATTTGAAAGGGTTGGCACGTGCTACAAACAGTGGTTTCAAAATTGCTATTGATTTTTGTGGTGAGTTTCTTGTCCTCCTTCGCGAAGCAAGCATTTGATCTGATATTCTTAGTAATTTAGCGAAGGGAAAGCAAGCGTTTGATCTGATATTCCTAGTAATTTAGTGAAGATTCAAAGAAGCTTAAAAAGATTAAATTTTCTGCTAATGGCCTCCAACTTGGTTATGTTTTTGTGTAGAGGGAATCGAGGCCAAACATCCCAAAATTACATATGCTGACCTATATCAGGTGATTATTTATTATTATTATTATTATTTTCTCAATGATTTCTTGCTAATTAGCTTTAATGCCCAAGGACTTGATCAGATAGGCTAAGAAAGCTCACTTTTGAAATTAAAGTGGTTAGTTTTTTATGTTGGGAAATCTATGGTGTCATGATTCAATTTTTAACTTTTAATTCTCAATCATTCTTGTTTAGCTTGCTAGGGTTGTTGCTGTAGGGGTAACAGGAGGCCCTACCATTGACTTTGTTTCGGGCAGAAAGGGATGTTCGTGGTAGAACAAAAATTAGATGCTAATTGATTTGGAATGGCTCCGATTCCGTTGGCAGGAAGCGTATTGTTACTGAGAGCTAGACACTTGAATATAAAGTAGAACAATCTTGAAGTAGTTCCAAGCTCTTTATAAAAAAATATGCCACCGAAGAAAGGCTGGAAAAAGCGTTCTACTAGCGAATCCGAAAACCCAATTTTCTTTAGGACATCAATCGTAGGAATCTCATCAGCACACATAATTTCATCATCTGATTTACGCAGGACCTGAATCATTATTGACGCGATAAGTAACTTATCGATAACAGATCCTATGGGATTAGTTAGGGACTTGACAGAATCAAAAAAGTGGCGTAAAGGATCAGCCAACAGTGTGGAACTGACCATCAAAGTAAATGGGGGCACCTGACTAGAATTTCTGTAGATCCAATGCTTGATAGTCAAGAAGTTTTTGGGCCTCAGGATATGCAGAAATGAAGATTTGGAAGCCTCGGTCAAGGAGGAAGCCATCAACAACCTATTCTCTTCTGATTCGTTTTTGGTTGCAGGAGCATCACATTTAAGGGATGTGTTTTTATCGTGTGGGTCTATCGGACAGGGACATTGAGGCACTGTCTGGAGGCCACACATTGGTACTTTTTGACAGATCTGCTACCACGTATAGAATTCTTTTCTGCGTAGTCAAAACATACCTAATGTTAATGTTTCATTTGGTTTTTATAAGGAAGGGCTCATCGGGATAGATCAGGCTTTCATGGTCCTTGGACAAGGGAGCCTTTGAAGTTTGACGGCACTTACTTTGTGTAAGAACATATTTAACTTTTGAGTATATTCCATATGCCATCTAACTAGCATAATGTGCAAAGTTATGGTGAAATTACATATAAAGAATGCTCCTTTTTAATTGAAATCAGGGAGCTTTTGAAAGAGGATTCGGAGGGACTATTAAAACTACCGACAGACAAGGTTCTTGTTGAAGATCCTAAGTTCCGGGAATATGTTTTGCAGTACACAAAGGTTATATTTTCACGAACTTTGAAAGATCACATATTCTCCACGCTGTGTTTCCTTGCTGTGACATAATTTGGTAGCCAACTAAGGATTTTCTATAGTTTCATGTCCATTCGTTATTAAGATGTTGCGCAATTATAGAGGTAGTTTCCATTTGATGTGTTCTTTGTAGATGGAGAGTTATTAGCAAAGTACTGTCTTCCAAATCAGTTGCTGATTAGAAGATAAATTGAGAAAGATTTTGGTTAAATAGCAAGATGAGGATGCGTTCTTTGCAGATTATGTAGCATCACACAAGAAGTTATCAGAGCTGGGCTTCACTCCACCTTCCTCAGGTCTCAAAACAATTACCAAGAACAGTACCTTGCTAGCACAAAGTGCTGTGGGAGTCGCCGTGGCGGCAATTGTAATAATCCTAAGTTACTTCTATGAAATCAACAGAAGAGTAAAGTGATTATTTCATTGTTGTTATTTGTTTTTTTTTTTTCTTACGTATTAATGAATATTTTTTTTATTAATAGTAATTTAAATTTAATTTATTATATTTAAATTTTAATAAAAAAAATTAAAATTTTATAATATGTTGTTTGTTCTAATTGTTAGTTACTACTAAGAATATCACAAATTTTAAAACTAACAAAAAAATTTATCAATTAAAAAAATAATAATAAACTTAGTGACGAATTAGCATTGGAATTTTTTTACATTTAGCAATGAAAATTATAACGGAATAGCGACAACGAAATTAACTTCGTATATTAGCAATGAAACATCGATCATTAATTACGAATTTAATGACGGAATGACGACATATTATTTGGTGGGAAGACGATTGTTATAGCGACCAATTGGCGATGGAAAAATCATCTTTAAATTAGTGGCGGATATTGTTCGTCCGTTGCTAGGGTTAGCAACAAATGTTTAACGATTGATTTTTTTCGATCGCAAATCCGTTGCTAAAAGCTTTTAGCCACATTTTTGCACTTAATAACAACATATTTTTCTCGTCACTAAATGATGGTTTTTTTTTTTAGTGATCGGCAACTTCATTTCGGACAAACATTAAGCATGTAAAATAATTTTGAAATCACTAATAGTTTCGTCACATAAGTGGAAAGCCACCAATAACTTCAACAATTAATTTTTGGACAAAAATAGTTTTGGGGCCTCTAGCGACTTCGTCCACATAGGTGGGAAGCCGTCATCGACTTTAATTCACCAAGCGTAATAATTGGATAATATACATTAGACATGAATATTACACATTCGGCACATCATAGACATATCAACCACATCACAACGTAAACACAAGCATTATACTCAAATACAAACACCAAAACCAGACTTTTATCCCGGATCCATCATTGAAATTAAATCTCAATCCTAGTACTCTCGACTTCATTGTAGAGTATTGATCACCAAATACCTGGGGTCTCCGATCCTTTCGGATTTGACACACAATAATATATCTAATCACTCTTCAAATTATTTAACAATCATAATCAAGGTAATTTTACATTTCAAAATAAAGTAATTTAATCACTAATATCAAATGGGTACAAATTTTTGAATGTTATTCAAAATAAGTCGAATAGTGTTGAAACTACCAAAGACACTCGTTGGGGTCGGCTCTACTCTCTTCGTCTCCGATAAGAACTGGCTATTCAATTAGTCGGGGAAGGAGAGCGACTACCTATTGTCAAGATTGTTGGTGTGGATCCCGCTATAGTGGTTGCATTTTTAGCCCGGGACGCCAAGGAGTTGCTATCCGCGACTTCTAAAGCACGGACTATTTGGAGTCATGTATTATAGACCAATTTCGGATCGGATAGAGGTTTCATTTGGTCTTGGTCTCTGATAAACGTGGGAGGTATGGATGTCTTCTTTTTGGTTAATTTTGAATCATTGCAATGTATAACTCTTGATATGGGAAAAACATTAGGTAGTGTTCCGGATTGTCACAGGATCCAAATTCTAACTTGACTTTGCAACGGACTTTAACGACCTAAACCATAAATGGGCTTTTTCGTTTTTTACTCAATCTAAAAAGTTTAATATGTCTCTCTTTTTGCTTATTTTCTAGACCTATAAGAAGGTGAAATCCTCCAATCTTTCTCTAAAGGTTAATCTGCTAGCAGTTAGGCTGTTATAGGTTTTGGGAGGCTGGTTTGGGGATTTTTGGTGGCTGTTTTAGAGGCTTTTTTATTGCTAGGCAGTGATCAATTAGAGAGGCTATTGAAGGGGTTGTTTTGAGGTAGAAGAGTGGCTGAAAAGTGGTGGAAGAGGGGCTAGATGGTAACGATAGCTGCTGTCTAATTTTGTCACCGTCTTACTAGCGATTCTACCACTAGTTTGGCAACTTGGAGCTGCCGTTTTGGTGGCTTGGAGGCTGTTGGAAGTTACAAAAGCAATGGTGGCCAGATTGTAGATGGTTACAATAGTAAAAAAGGGTCGAAAAGTGACGGAAGAGCATCCAAAACAAGGCTGTAGCAGTGACAACAATGGCTGTCACAAAGAGGGGCTATTTTGATAAATTTGGATAACTTTTTCGAGGAGGTTTCACAACTAAAATGGAGGAGAAGTGGGTGGCCGGACTTTAGGTTGTTTTGGATGATGGAGATAGAGATTGTGCGGAGTTTTAATGGTAGGTATGGAAGATTTGGTCAAAATAGAAAGCGGTGACAATCAAGTTTTGAGAAAGATAATGAATAATGACAACCTCCTTAAAATAAAAGAAAATATAGGTATTTATAGCAAAAAAAATTAAAATTTTGGATGAACATCAATTTGAGTCCGTGACTTTCCATGTTTGTTAATTTTAGTATCATTTTATTTGTTTAAACTTTAATGACATCCCTTAATTCAATTAATTAGGACCTTTTGTTTTAATTTCCCTCAATTGTACCTTCTTTTTTTTAATCAAGAATTTGAGATTTTAGACTTTTCAATTACACCCTCAATTGGGTCTCTCTTGATTTCCAAACTTATGTCTTTCAATTGGACCCTCCAAATCATTTTTTTAAATAATTCTCTCTCTCTCTCTCTCTCTTCTTTTCTTTTCTTTTTTAATTTTTTTTAATTTATAAATTTAAAAATAGACATAAAAATTAGAATGCTAACAGATGGCGAGAGAGACGGGTTTGCAGCATTATTTGCCCAGGCCATTTCCAATGTTCAGGTCAGACAACGGTATAATGCAAACCGAAAAATCAGGAGGGTGAATTCGGTTTGCAGTAGATTCAAATTTTTCTACAATCAGTTTCTTAGCAAGGATTATTATTCCTACCTTCAGGCACCAGTACCATCGGCCGGTCAAGATACGGGATATACAGAGATATTTATACACTAGGGTATGTGTAAACAAGGTAAATCCAAAAGATGAATTTGCAAATGGAGCACCTAACCATGTGAAGTTCAACCGCCACCCTCGTCAATGGAATGTCACAATTTAAAACTATAATGATGATGGGATAGGCAATTACAGTTTGAATCACGGAGTAGAAACTCAAATAAAAGAGAAAAACAATTCCGAGATAAGTGTACACGTACAATGTCTCCCTAAAGTTCAGTTAAAGAGACCAGTTCGGCCTGCAGAAACCTCACCTCAGAAGACAATGGCTGTGGACAACAAATCAATTCGTAAAAATGGTTATTAAGAATCAGCTACATACAAATTTTGACAAATAACAAATAAACACTTCTCTTGAAGGAACCGCTGATCAACTTTAGACACATTCGCGTATCAGATACACTTAAACTTCAAATGCTCATGTTGGCATAAAAGCAACCCCAACAACTCTAAAGAAAACTGCACTTACCTTTGTTTATATGACACCCATACCATCTAGGGATCGTCATCATAAGGAACATCCACAGCAAAAGATGATGGAAGAATTAAGATTGGCCTTCCACTTCCATTATGTTGGAATTCAGCAACCATTGAAGCATGATTTGGCTGATAGTCCCAGGTATTACCAGTCAAGTCCAAACGCTCAAGACTACCTAAGTAATAACAAGTTTAATATAGGTTCAGATTCAAGTGTGCATTTCACATAACATCAAGGGCAATTAGCATCATGCCCAACAGTTAAATCGTTTCATTTTGTACCACTACCATTTTCCATGGAAACTTGTTAGCACTTGAAATTTGGCCCCCTTTATTATATATACATTCCTTAATTTTCCCAAGAGAAGAAATGGACTAGGTTTCAAATATAAAATGCTAACATTTACCAATGTTACACTGACAAAAGAAACCAGTGGAAGTCAACAGCTAATATTAATAAAAAATCATTCAAGTAGACAGATACCTTTAGCAAGCTTCAGTGCAGAACATATAGCTGTTAGAGATTCTGAAGGCATGAGATTGTATGTTGCATTGATGGCAATAATGTCTGGAGCCAAAGACAAGAGCTTCGACAAAAATCTTGCAGTTTCAAGCCCACCACGGTTTTTGCTGTGGCAATTATGCCATTAGTTGATTCATAATGTAGGCAAGAACTAAGATACAACTAAGGAAATAAGGAAATAATTCAAACCTTATATTGATATCAACAAGCTTCAATTCTGCAATCATCCCCTTTTCTAGTTCCTTAAACCCAAGTGAACCCAGTCCAATGCCTCCAACATTAAGTGTTTTAATAGGCGTGACCAAAATTTTTTGCAAAGCTCCTGCTACTTGACTGGATTACAGTAATTACAAAGTTAATGCAAATCAAGAATAAAAGTAAATGATAATTTGTAACTTCTATTCCAGAGACAAATAGACGAACCTCCCAAGGCCATTATCTGCAAGTGAGAGAGAGTTTAGTGGTCTTTTCAAGTTTGAAAGGGTATCTAAAAGTTCAGTTGCTCCACTGCAGGAAAGCTCACAACTCTCTAAATACAACTCAGCCAAGGGAGAGCATCTTTCAGGAGCCTCGATGAAATAAGGGATTAAGCATCTGCAAAGTTCAATTGCAGCTTTTAGATTTTTGCCTGCTACATTGAAAGTGCATGTGGCAAAAGGAGATTCAACTAACCTGATGCCATCATCCTCGATGGGATTCTCACTTATATCCAGGACCTCCAAGTTAGGCATAGAAACAAGTGCATAACTAAGACTCTCCACATCATCCTTCTGAAGATCATTTCCCCTGACACCAGACAAGAATTTTTATCATTAATAAAGTAAAACACTGTCTGAAAACAAAAAGGCAGTTATATACTCTTATTAATCATCACATTGCTATGCCCTAAATTGAATGATGGCAAAAAATAACAGTGGACCCTGGTTATGCCAAAATTGGGATGGCTTGGTTTAAGACACTGTTAAAGAACAGAAGGAACAGCATATCATGTCACCTTATATTGAGCACACGTAATGAGTGCAAAGACTTCCCTATTCCTAAAGATGATGGAATTTTTCCTTTCCATTTCCCATTGAAATTACAAAGCCATCCTGCTATCTGTAAGGTTATTTAAATAATAATCAATCTTTTGAAATCATAGACGGAATCAAAATGTATGATAGATCTAATAGAAATGCATCACTCACATTGTTGTCAGAAAGATCAAGGATGGATAGATTAGAGGAAGCATCAAGAAGAATGCTAAAAAGCTTCCATGCAAAATTCCGGTCTAGATGGTTGTCATGTAATTTCAGAGAACACAAAGACCTGAGAACAAAAGGCTTTACAAGTAAGGGCAGGTATCATTGGAGTAAACAGAGAAAGATGCACAGGAGAACATACCACATTTATACAACAGAGCCATTAAGATTTCTTAATAACTTAATCTAGTGTGAGTGACCATAATTTTTGGTTTTTTCCACTGCAAGTCCAAGGAAAAAAGAGAGAAATGTTTTGGAGACATATTTTCCAGAATGTACTCCAGAAAAGAAAAAAAAATCACGTTAGAAGTGATAGTGTGCATTGATTGGACATCAAAATAACTCCAAGGAACAGACAACAGGAACAAAAATATGAGGATGATTAACATTTGACAATCTGGCAGCTGAGTTACAGCTTCGAGTTCCAGACTTCCTGGAGACTCGTCCAGTATATTTATCCTCTTAAGTACTAACATGCTAACAGCTCAATACTGTCCATTAAATTTGACAGTTGATGAGCATCTGTTGTGGATCAGCAGTATAGAAGAAGGCAGAGCGCAAGGAGGGAAACTAAGATCTTGCAGATATTTATTCATCACTTTTATTTATTATTTATTAAGAATAAGTCAGATTAGGAAAAGGATATGAGAGTCCTAATTGGTGTGTATTTTAATTAAGACTTTCTATGTTAGTGTAAGTCTGTTTAGGCAATAGCCTATTAGGTTTGTCTTCGTTTTTCAGCTGCCTCTACTATATAAAGAGCGGATGCATTTTGAATAAAGGTATCAAATACTTAGTCAAGAAAAAAGCTAGGAGGGTTGGTGGTCTCTAAAACAAACCATCCATTATTATTTGTTCACAATAGGCTCTTCACGGAAGAATCGAAACGTGAACAAGGGAAAGCTAATTGATTTCCCCGTTAATCGACCCTTAACGAGATCCTTAACTCGGGAACATAACAATTTGGTATCACAAACGATCATCATGGGTGATTACGAACAACTATTAGCCAGGGTACAACAATTGGATTGCCACCTGACAGACACGGTTGATCAGGAATTGCACGAACTAAGGGAGAGTATGAAGGCTATTCAGAGGTTGCTGGAGTTGCAATCATTGGACAAGGGCAAGGCAACTGAAGGAGAGATGGGATCTGGAAGCAACAATGAATCGACATCAAGGCCAGCAGAAGTGCCATCTAAGTGATGCAACAACAGCACTGTGATTCCCAAGTACTCCAGGTTACAATTTCCTTCTTATAGTGGTATGGAGGATCCTTTGGGATGGCTTTATTGCTGCGAATAATTCTTTTTAAACTAGTGAACAGAAGAGGTAGACAAGGTGGGCTTGGCTACTTTTCATATGACGGGTGAGACTCAACTGTGGTTCTTTCGATTAGAACAAGAAGAGCAGAATATCACTTGGGATCAATTCAGATCCTATTGTTCTCTAAGATTTTCCCCTCCATTAAGCAGTAATCCATTAGGGGAGCTAGCTAATTTGAAGCAATCCGGCATAGTAAAGGAATATCAGAGTCAATTCTAAACACTCCTAGCTAGGGCTATTTCTATTAGCGGTGATCAGCAAGTTGATTTGTTGACCACAGGACTTACAGAGGTGTTATAGGCAGATGTTGAAATGTAGCGACCCTCTAATCTGGTTACAGCTATGAATTTAGATCGAGCTTTCGACAGAAAGCTACGACTCTCCGACAGAATTGGAGAGAGAAGCACTCCTTCTCACTGGTTTCCCTCAAAAATGACAGGTTCAACTCCTCCACTCACCGTCAACCATGAATCAAAAAAGGTGGGAGGAAGTTTGCCCATGGTTTCCGACATGAGAAGTACATCAACGCATTTCATTAAGAAGTTATCAAGAGCAGAGATGGCAGAGAGGTGAGCAAAGGGACTTTGTTACAATTGTGATGAATCATTCTCTGTTGGGCACTGGTGTAAACGTTTGTTCTATTGTTGGTAGATGACTTCGACGAGGAACCAGACCTGCTGTGGATCTCGAAATCTCCCTCCACACCATAACAGGGACTAGGAATGCACCCTGATGATGCTACAAAAGAATTGGTCACTTTTTTATAGGACACTTATCCTCATTTTGAGCTTGAGGACAAGCTCAATGTCTAAGAGAGGTGTAATGTTATGGATCAGTAGTATAGAAGAAGGCAGCAGCGCAAGAAGGAAAACTAAGATCTTGCAAATATTTATTTATTGCTTTTATTTTTTTATTTATTAAGAATAAGTCAGATTAGGAAAAAGATATGAGAGTCCTAATTCGTGTGGTATTTTAATTAAAACTTTCTATGCTAGTGTGAGTCTGTCTAGGCAATAGCCTATTAGATTCGTCTTTGTTTTTCAGCTACCTCTACTATATAAAGAGCGGATGCTTTCTGAATAAAGGTATGGAATAATTCAATAAAGAAAAACCTAAGAGAGTTGGTGGTCTCTAAAATAAACCATCCATTGTTATATGTTCACAATAGGTTCTTCATGGAAGAATCGAAACGTGAACAAAGAAAAGCTAATTGATTTCCCCATTAATTGACCCTTAACAAGATCCTTAACTCGAAACCATAACAGCATCTCACCAACCACAAGCAGTCAGCCAAAAAATATACAGTAAGAGGCTGATCAATAACAAAGCATAAGTTGAGAAGAATGGATATACCTGCCTGATGAAAGGAATGATACAAATCCGGGAGGTAGGGAAACTGGATTAATTTCAAGAAAGCTGCATGTGTTGATTGAGATATACCGTATTCCATGTGTGTGCGTATTAACTATGTTTAGAGAAGCACATATTGCACTCACAAAAGTTGATGAAAGCTTGCAGTAATTGAGCTCCAGTGATGTCAATGTTTCACTGTTTTGGATCAACAGTTTGCATAAACCATCAACCTATTGATGCCATAATCAAAATTCAGCATTTTTCACTTAAATTTGGACACGAAGCAACACAATTAAACATTAGTCTAAGAAGCTTGACTACATGATGATAATGAGACTTTCCCATTTCAAGCATACTTACTAATGCATAGGTTGCATGAGATTGGTATTTGATTACATGGTTTCACCAAATAACTGAATTATTATCCCAAGTTTTTTGTTTAAAAAAAGCAGCATTCAAGACCATCTAGATCTGATATTCACAAGATTAGAGTACACAGTTAGCTCCACAGATTGGTGATTACATTTTCTTATAGAAATAATTTATCATTGACGCAAATTGATCACTACGAATGTATATGTTCTTAATGTTGGGGTCTTAGAGAAAATAGGGTTAGTTTTCTTCTCCCAAGTTGAATCTTATTGCCTCTTTGGCAACCATTATAAGTTAGTACACAAATTACTTTCACTTCCTAGAGTGGCAGATCAATATTTGGAATGAGTTATAGCATTTCCAAAATCAGAGTAACAAATCCAGGTTGAATGAGCTCTTATTCGTCCCTGGCTGGCCTGTATAAGGTAATGAAGTTTATATATATTTCTCAAAAGTGGTTCGGTTCTTTCTTTTACATTCCATATTATGGTGTAAAACAGCAGATATGTAACTTGAAAATATGTCTAGAAGTATACCCATTCAGTTTATATTGCTGTAGTCAACATTTTGTAGCACACATGGTAAGAGCACAACTATTTGTTATGATTTCCAGCGCTATACTTGTTTACTTTTTTTCTCTTTGAAGTACCATTTCAATGTATTTGTGGGTATATACTGTCTACAATTATAGATGAAGTTATTGGCTTTGCACTCTCCCCCAAAACAAGAATTCTTAGCTACTTAAAAATATCCTAATGCACATATAAAAAGGAAGCAAGCATACATGTTCCTCAGATCTGATCCACCGCACTACCAAACTTTGCAAGTTGCTCTTCCTCAATAATACCTGTTACAAAATAATAGTTAGTGCTGTACCGTTTATCATCCTTTCCAGATGCACTGTCTTGAGAACAATTTATGACGTGAAATGTGGCATTTAATGCAGATGTTAAAAACAGCTTAACACAATAAAAGTTCTTCCAAACATGACTAAGAAAGCCTCTTGACAGAAAAATACAAAATGAGAATGATACTAGAGGTAGAATCTTCTCTCCCTCTTTCGGCTTCAATCTAGAGGGAATAAAAAGATGTTATCATTATATTGAACCTCAGGTTGCTTGTACCATTCTTAGTTAATTTTCTAGGGAAAGCCACAAAACATGAAAAATCTAAAGATGAGCTGATCTAGTAAGAAAACATGCCTTGCAAAGCTTTGACAAGATGTGTATAAAAAAACTCCTTTTATGATTGTTGGGACAATTGTAAGAAAATCTCAAGTCCATTGCGTCACTTTTAAAGAGAATTCTAACCATGCAAACAATTCTCAGGCTGTTGGCATATATGAATACTAGCAAAAACCGAAACACATACTCCAGCCAAATGAATACATTCAATATAATAACATACTTCAATGGATATAGATTCTAGAAACAAATTCAAAAGTCATTGATGGTTTCATTCTACTTAGGGGATAAAAACATACACAAGTTTCTGCAACACAAAGCACATTTGGAAGTCTCAGACAGCTGCATAGAGAAAACAACACACATGAACCTAAACCATGTTAATATAACTAAATTGGTAGATAAACATGATGGACATATTTAAGAAACTCCACAATATATGTTACATTGGATATGTGCAATCGATCACTTATCGATTTGATTTCATATCAAAAGATCACTTGCATGAAAGCCTTGATGATGAAATAAGTATTATTTTCAAATATCGAGGTCAGTGCAAGGAAACAAGCTTTTTGCATAATGCAAAAATTTGAGAAAATGTTCACTTGGCAACTCAGTTTCGTCCAGAAATTAAAGAACATAAGCATAAGCTGAACTAAATAAAAAAATAAAAACCTGGCAATACATGTTACCTAGCATAGTGCCCAAACTGTTGACAGTGGTATGATAATTTTGAATAGTTTGGATGATTTGCATGTTCCTCGCAACCAATATATTTCAGTATACCATCTGCAAGGAACATAACAACATTTGATCAAACAAATTCTTCAACCTAGCAAAGCTAGATGCACATGCAAATACATAAATAAATTGATTTATCAACAATACAAATAACCATATCAGTGCCAACAATTTGCACCCAAAAAAAGAAGGGTTCTTGTCCCTGTAGAGCTTAGAAAAGTATAGAAAGTTTCTAATGTGATTTCAAAAGTCTATTGTGCTCCAGAATAAAGCGGCAGAAAGACAACTTCAGTTTCTGATCATTTATACGAAATAACATGATTCATTACCTGAAATTTTCATCTCACCAATGCACCCATCAAAAGAGGGGAGCAAAGCTAACTCCGATGCTTCATCAAGGCAACTGTTATCCAGTTAATATAATAAGAAAATAAATCCGAATACAAGCAATAGACAGGTACAAGATTTGCTACCAACTCATAAAATAGACATACTTCTGCAAATGTGTTTGCCAGTATATCTGTAGCCAGTCAACTGTCCCAGTACGATAAAAAAGTTCAGGCCAGCGCAACTTAAACAGCGCCTTCCATGCTGAATCAAAGTTTCCATGTCTGTTAAAAACATCAGTAAACTATTAGACAATGACAACAGCCCCAGGTAGTCTCCTCCATCTAAATTCAATATTTCCATTGAGAAACAAGTGAGAAAACAAAACTTCCAGACCTTCCACGCTTTCTCCCATGTTTCAAGCAATCATCAGGAGCCTCGTAATCATCCCATTCCTTAAACGGCCTGCTCAATGACGAAACCAACTAAAAATCAAACATATACAAATGCAAAATTTCTATGCAGTTATTGTTTTGCTGTCACACTTACATATCTGTTTGTAATTTGTGCAAAGCTAAGGGGGTAATTTTGTCAATAAAAGATCAAATAAATGAGAGGGAAGATCATAGATATCAGGTCGAACATCATCTTCATCATCTCCTGCGGCAGTTAAGAGTGCAAAGAAAAATCAACAGTTTTCCAAAACAGAAACTCAACTTCCTTTTAACTCATGAAGGAAAAATTACCGTCTACTACTTCTCTTTTAACTGCTTCAATGGCTAAAGATATCAGAGAAGGAACTTCTGCCATTCCTGAGTTTATAATTGTAATCTAAGCACAAAACAATCAGCTTTGATGATTTAGTTAATTAATGGAATGACAGCATAATTGGAGATTATCTGATGAAGAAATGCTACAGACTCACCAGTAAAGGATCAGAGACTGCTTTCCTTTCCTTCTGTTATTCAACTTGCTTCAGTCGCTGGGCTCGGCAGAAGGGAAAGGAGCAACCGTTTCCTGGCGGCTTTAAGTGGTATTAGTCTACTCCGATGTTTTAAGTTTACGACGTCGTGTTGGGGCAGCGTTTCTTTTATTCGCTGGGAAGATACTGGGTCAAACTTTCTCATTTGTATACAGGATGGTTGAGTTTAATGCAATAAACTTGGTTGGTTTAAATAAATGATTTTAAATTTAAATTTTTATAGGTATAAATTTTTTTTTACACAATTGTATTCAATTTGTATGTCTGATAGAACATGAGACACTTTAGAGATCTAAAAACTTTCTTATTTATAATAATTTAATTATTCATAATTTGTGAGATTAGGTTTAATTACTAGTAATTAAATGATTCAAATCTGTTTTTCGGATTTGTTGATTATAAGTCTTAGTTATGATATGTCACTTTGGATGCATGCCTGTGTTTTTATTAGTAGAAAACTGAACATTTTTTTTTTTTTAATTTCACTTGTACTATCTATTTGGCAAATTAGGGAAAGATAAGATAAATAACAATAACTCCAAAACTACCACTCCAACTAAACACTGGATCACGTTCCAAACAATCACACACGTAATAAAATCCCTTGAATTATTTGTCTAATAGCTTGGCTTCATTGATGACCCAATTGAATTGAGCAAGAGTTCTAGTACTTTTAACTACGAAAACAGGCATATGACATAGAAAATGATAATCTAGGACTTGGCATCTATGGCCATGATGGTGCTAAGGTTCATGGGGTTCATGTACTCGGTAGTCCCTGTCATCAGCTGCTGCACAAGTATCCTGTTAGCCCTCTCGGTTGGATGGAAAGGATCCCAGAACACATAGAGGTTCCTGTTGGGGCACAGGTTTGAAAATGCTGTGCAGAATCCGAGTCCATTGTAGAGGCCTTGCCCACAGCACGCCATCTTTGATGTAACAAAGCCTGCACCAGCAATTGCAACGAAAGATGAGATGCAGAGTTAACATTTGTAAGCAAAATCAAGATATATACAGTGGCTTCAAACAAACCAAATTTTTGGGGATTGTTGATCAAGTCCGCGTTCATTGCAAATGCATTAGCGCTAACGAAAACATCAGAGCCTAATTCGCTGTTGAGCCCTTGAAGCATTTGGAATAGCAGAGGATTGAATATCTGAGAAGCTCTTTGTGGCTCCGGTGCACATTCCCCATTCCTGCTTCCAGACATGGCTAACTCTGCAGGAACACAACCCAATGGTCCAGTTCCAGTCACTAGGATCCTTCTGCCCCCCAATTCATATAGCCTCTGAATATTGTGTCCACATAAAAAAAAACAACCGTAAAGCCAAAACCAAGAGAAGCAAACACCGCCTATCTAACAATACAACCTTGAAAAAAGGAAAAGAAAATGAAGTATGAGAATTAATGATCACCATGAGAATGTTCCTGTACTCCGAGACAAGATACCGGCAATAATCGGGGAGGGAGAATTGTCTCCTTCTTGGGGAGAATGGTGTCAAAAAATAGTTGTTAACGAAGTCATTACCACCAAGTGTTACGAGGACTAGAGCATCATTCACTAACTGCTGTGTCTGCTCTGGTCCTATGATGGCACTGACTCGTTGCTGGTATTGTTCAAACAGCTGAAATTGCCTGAACATTCTTAATATGTTGGCCTGCAAATTCAAATTCAAAACTTTGTGTCACTAATTGATTTGCTAATTGTAACATGGCAAATTGATAATCCCTTTCTTTTTTCTTTTTCAATTTTCTCATGCACATTACCAGCACCAGAAAGTAAAAAATGTGCTCATATAGAAATCCCATGCATGGTTACATCAAGATCTTAATTATAATGGAAGGAACAAGGACCACCTGCTGCTTACAAGTAAGTCAAAAGGGGTTTTCTAGCTAGCTCAATATGTGTTGTCACATGTCAAATCTCTCCATATCGAGCAACATAATTAAAAGAAGTGGTGTCAAAATAAACGTGTATGGTAGTGAAATTTGCTGGATTGAGCTGAATATTGAACTTACAAATTGAATTCCGGTGTCATTGAGGATTCCAATTCCGGCAGAAGCGAAGTTGGCACCATTAAGTAGTCTTTGTCCATTGAGTTCAGGACTTAAGATGGGCATTGTTGGCTCTAAACCCATTGACTGACCTAAATACGTCCATACAAAACGTTTGATATATCATCTGCTAAATCATGTTCTAAAAGAAATGAGTGCATTGCTTCTGGCTTGCTAGATAATTTGAGAACTTACTAATAATATCAGGGAAGTTGAAACCATTAGAGAAACGGCCTGTTGGTCTGTGGGTTGGATAATCAATGCCATAAGGAGGAGAATCAGCACGAGCCGTAGTGGCCAAGTAATTGTTGTTGCCACTGTCAACAAGTGAGTCACCGAACACAAAGAAAGCACGAGCTGACTCTGCTTGAGGTACAATGATTGCAACCATTGCCATTGCTAGGGCAACAGTGAGGTTTGTGATGAGAAAAATCCTAGGAATTGACATGGAGACAAATTAATAGTGTGAGCACGTTCTAAGTCTCTCACTCTCTTTTTTCTTCCCTCTCAAATAATATGTCTGTGGGAAGAGTGGATGTTTTGATATATACATATAGCTTTGATGTGTATATATATACACATATAGGGGTTTAGCTGTGAAATTCTTTTCCTTTTCTTGTTTTACTTTTAATGAAATTACACTAAGTAATGAGGCTACAGTTCCTCGAACCTGCCTTGGGGAGAGGTGGGGACCAAATGAAGCTAATCGAGAAGCCTACTATGTCGAAGTTGTAGCCAAGTGCTTTTGCAGAGAGATTGCTTAATGGGAATAATGGTACATAGGAAAAAAGTACTAGTTAGAGGTAGTTGGCATATACAACAGAGTCAAGGTAAAAGTATGCATGCATGATGATCTTTCTCAACCAAACATCTAGACCACATTAACCCATGTTCACCGGCTAAATATATACGTGAGTGGAATATCGAGAGAGAAACTTATGGCAAGTTTCGTTGTGCAGAGGAAGAAAGAAATTATGACATATCCACGACAAGAGCACGGTTTTAGACTCCCATTTAGTATATCTTCATATATAGTTCTCGATCGTATATACAACCTAGCTAAGACCTATCCTATCCGGTATTACCTTAAGAAATTCAGTACTTTATAAGCAGCTGCTTACGTACGTAGCCATAGCAGGTTGTGCAGAGACGCTAACTAGGTCAAAAACTGGCTTAGGGTTATGTTCAATATTGTGCAATTAAAGGGTTAAGAATGGCCTCACCTTAGAACAATGTATATCTACGTTTCCACATCCGTGATAATTGTCGGCAACTAACCCTTTCTAAGTGATGCATTGAGTGTGTATATATATATATATATATATGTTGGATTGTTGGTTGCATTTAGATATATACTTAGCTAGTACTAAGGATCGATCTTGATCTTGACTAATTAATTACTGTGGTTACTGGTTACTGTTCACACTCTGATCAGCAAGCTTGCTAGCTAACCAATAAAGCAATAACCATTGAATTTGATTGTGAAAGGTGATATTCATATACAGGAATAAAAAGAATACTGCTCATGAAACTAAAAATATAGATGAAATTAATTAATATTCTAACTTCATTAATACCAAATTAAGTGGAGGGTAGAAGGCAATTAAAGTTTCAAGTTTGAATTCTACCCCTTATAACTGCTATCAAAAAGCTAAAAAAAAAAAAAAAAGTTCATTTCTGGTTGCAGGGTTCTCAAATCAGTTAATGCATATGTATTGCTGGCTAAGCAACTGGTACGTAGTAGTTGTCCGTATAATTTTCTGCTGAAATAATCGTATGTCTGAGTGTAGGGTTACAAATGAATGATGAGGTCCTAAAACTTGCATCAATGGAAACTATAAATATACACACACACGTACCACCTTTAACCTTTTTGAAAAACTTGTTAATTTTTATTTTGATTTTCTTCCAATCTCTATCTCACATTAAAGATAAAATTAATTTTATTTATGATAGAAATGATAAAATTTAACTTCTCTTTATAAATATAAAATTTATAAATTTTTCATGTTAATAAAAAATTTGGTTAAAGAGCAAGTTTACTTACCATTAAATCAATAATTTATTGATGAAAGATTTGTTAATTTTATGTTAAATAAGAAGCAATTCTGATAGATATCACTAAAGGGCCCCGTAAATCTGCAATGAATTTTTTACCTTACACTCGAAATCACGTACGAAGAATTATTGCTAATAACACTGCAATTGTATGATTGTGAATAATAAATATACACATTCCTTAGTAATAACATTATGTGATTTTCTGGAGCAACCGAAGCCAGAGGTTTCTCTACTTGGCTCGAGGGTTTATTTATTGGGGTGGCAGATAAAGTCGTAATAAAGTTAAGATGCCATGTGAATTGCATAAATGGGGAGGGCCATTGGTAGATGAATTCCATCTATCTCCTTCTTTATGTCCATATATATCAACTCTTAAATTATAATCCGTCCATCTCTTCCTTTTTCTTTGACAAATACATGCCTTTGTAACAGGAACTAGTACAAAAAATTAGCCATCTCCATGTTAAGTCACTAATGTCCGAAACATCAAATAAAGCATGTGGATGATGTCAAACCTAGTGGGCTTTGCTAGTGGCAGCAAAATATCTAACCCTTATGATTATGAATGGATAAAAGCTGTGTTTAACTAGGGATTTTGTGGCCATCCATCATTTTCAACTTCGATCTTTTGATTGATAGGCCAATTAATGACAATTAATTAATGGTGCGATCAGTTTCTAATTAACAAAGACCACACAATTGAATGGATCACGATCTCTCTGTCTGACCACAATTATATATATATATATACCCGTATTTTTTTTATAGAGAGATTTGTGGGTCATCCCTATACAATAGGGATAATCCTCCCACTCGTTACATTATATGTAAATAAAATAAAATCATTAAAACTCAAATTTTTTTTCACTAAAAAAATTATTAAATAAACAATTGTTAAACTATATGTTCTTGTTGTATTATTATAATTTGTATGTAGTATGAATTTTTTAATTAAAGTAAAATAAATGGGATGGAGTGTGGCTAAATTGTGGCGAAGGGATTGTGTTTAATTATAATTGATTATTTACTATATATATATATATATATATATATATATATAGCTTATGGCATATCGCATGAAGGGATTTGAAATTTTGAATGTTTTGATGAAAACGAGCTATGAAAACAAGCATAATTACTACCATGAATTAATTCAATCTGAATCTGCAAGAGACAATCGTGTGGTACTGTATATTTCAATGTTGCTAAAAAGCTGATGAACTGTGAATCAATCAGTACCATGAATATTCTCTCTTTAAAAAAGAAAAATCGAATTCAAATTTCTTTTTATGTAACAAAAAAACCAAAAAAAGTTGCTAAGGAGCAAAAACCTCAGTGCCCAGTCTCTCGTTTAGCGTTATCGATATATGGTCAGCTGTTATGGAGCCCATACTGATCATCAAAATGAAAATTCCCATGTGCTGAATTGCTTCTTGCTCTGTTGGAAAAGTCGAAATGAACTTCAAAAAGAACAAAATTATATAGTGTTTAATTGCATGTAAAAAATATTTTATATTGTCCTTAAGGTAATTATTGCCTCCAATATAATACACTACGAGGATTTTAGCAATTCACCTCTAGCATATAATTTTCTCACACAAGAATCGCATGCAGCGACTCTCGAAATTCTTTTAAGAGAATATCTCTTAAAGTTGTAGAATTTTAGAAGGAAAAGAATTTTGAGAGGAGAGGAGGATTGTAGAGAAAAATTAATTAACTTTGTCCTGTGCGAGTGGTCCCATATTTATAGATTATTGATACTCTTTCATAACATACATGATTGTTGATTCCAACGATCATAATTGTTGAATTCTAACGTACATAATCGTTATATTTTAACGGTCACAATCCAATAGTCATAACTGTTGGATTCTAATAGACATAACTCGTTAGATTATAACGATCACAATCCAATAGTCATAATTGTTAGATTCTAATGAACATAACTCGTTAGGTTCTAACGATCACAATCCAATAGTCATAACTACTTGGATTCTAATAAACATAACTTTTTGAGCCAATTGTTATGTTTGTTTAAAAACTATTAATAACTAACCAACTACAACGAGAAAATTAAAAATATTTTTAAATTTTCTTCATAGCACACTTAACTTATTATCTACCATTTTTAAGATTTCTAACAATCCCCTACTTAGATAATAATATTAAGTCCTTACGAGTATCACGCATAAAAGGAAAATGTCTCTCGACTTGAATCTCCTTTTAGTGTAAATATTTCAAAGTCTTAATTGAATAAATGGTATCTTAAGCGATTGAACCAATATCCTTTGTATTAAAACAGAAAATACCATACACGTGTCTAATCCAACTTCTTTTAGAGATTCTCAAAAAATCTTTTAGCACTTATATGGCTATGTGCTACATCCTAGATTTTTATAAACATTTCCAAAAGTTGACCCTTGAGCTTTTGCTAAGAGCGACACCACTCCTTATGTTTATATAGGTGAAGTTCCTATTAAGTTCTAAATATATTGGTCATATTCCATGACTTAATCCTCATTAAGAGTTTATAACTCATCCTCTAAACTTTATTAGTACTAGTTAACTTGGAATGGTAACATAAGTGAAATATCCTAGTACTTCAACGAGTCACTTATCGGTAACTTATTTTTACCCATTGAACTTTTAGCTACTAACGATACTAGAGAAAAGTTGAGTTTCTATTACTAGTGACTCTAGGAGAAGGGTCTTAAACCCATTCTAATTGAAGTTTTCCTTACTAAATCTTTAGTAAGCCCTTTTGTAAACGGATCCGCCAAGTTGTTACTTGTTCTTACATATAAGATTGTGATAATTCCTTCAAGAATTAATTATTTGACATATTCATGTCTCAAGCTTATATGTCTAGATTTTTCATTGTATATCTTGCTAAAAGCCTTAGACATAGTAGCTTCACTATCGCAATGTAAAGAAATGGTCGGCATCGGTTGTGGCCATAACTCTATTTCTAGTAATAAATTTCTTAGCCATTCTGTCTCTTTTCCTGCGATTGCCAGTGCAACAAACTCAAATTCCATTGTGAAATGAGTTATACATGTCTATTTCTTAGAAGCCCATGAAATAGCTCCTCCTCCAAGAGTGAATATCCAACCAAATGTAGACTTATTATCACTAACACTTGTTATCCAACTAGCATCGGTATATCCCTCTAATATTGATGGATAACTCTCATAAAACGATCCTAAACTTAACGTTCTTCTAAGATAAATAAAGACTCTAGAAATTGCTTTCTAATTATCAACACTAGGATTACTAGTGTATCTTAAAATCTTACCTACTGCAAAGAAAATGTCTAGCCTAATGCAATGCATTGCATACATTAAGCTATCAATTATGCTAACATACTCAATTTGAGCAATTGCTCTT